CACAGGAAGTTTTTACTTATTTTTTAATTCGATCTGTTGTGTGTTCCCGGAACAGGACTTGCCTATCGAGGAGTAAATAGTAACATAAGCAAGAGAAAAGGTCGTGTATATTTTAATAAGATAATATTATTTACTGTATTCTTACTTTAATTAACTTTTACGGAACAAGTGGCAATGTATTTTGATCTCTTTTAGTCAGAAATGTCGCTTTTTATTTGGGGTGAGAAGTGAATTTGCTACATGGGTTGACTGGAGTAGAAAGGAATTTATGTTTAATCGATATGTGAATGTGTTTTTTAACTGGCAGCTTTTATATGTTTTACTCATTGTTACCGTTTTTTCTTCTTTTTTTTTCATATAAGCTCAGTGTCTATTTGAAAGTAATTCTCGGAAGAAAGTTAAAAAAAATATTAAAAAATATAGAAGAAAGTAATTTTATAATTCTTCTCAATAATATCTCCATTTGTAAGTATGATCTTTAAAAATGATTCGTGGCAGTATTTCTTTCAAATGGATGCTAGCCAGTAGTAATTCCTTCATCGTTTTTTATTACTTATACTTTCGTCAATATGTTAATTGTGATTTAACAAAATCGTTTACACATTAAACTGAAATTGTAACCACGACTATGCTACATATAAATAAGTTTTTTGCAATACGTTGCTTATTAATAACTATCAAAGACGAAGTTTTTTATTTTGCAGTAATTTCAATAAATATAACATGTAATGTTTTTATAATACATATTTTTAATTATAATTACATGTATAATGAACAAGATAACGTCTCGTGGTTACATATCGAATTGCTTAGTAATACATTGTTTCTAAAAAAACTCCGCAATATTTTTGAAAGATACTCACAGGAATTCGGTTCGGTAGATTTTTATTTTATACGGAAATTTGAAAACAGGTAGAACAAATATGTGAAATTGAGAAAAAGGAGCACCGACACTAATATTATTGACATTTACGCGTAATGATTTTAAAGTAAGCGAATTACATTTATAAGAAAAGATTATAAAAATATATATTTATCTATGTCTTCTGTGAAGATAGAAAATAGTACTCTCTCACTCTATATTGATGATATCGAAAATCGAGGCCCGATAAAAAGATACAAAATGCAGAAGTAGACTAAGGAAAAGAAAAAAAAAGAAACAACTTGCACTGTACACAATAACATACGATACGATCAATCGATTGACTCAGATTTGTTAAATATCTTTGTATATATTTACATGAAGACCATGAGAAATTGTTCAAGTTCCAGCAGCTACATTTTTGTAATAAGTACTCCCGTGAGAAGAGAGAAACTGTTTTGTTTGCAACTCGTTATGAATCCAGTTCCACATTTCGAAATTAAAGTTAAAAAATGCAAAAATATTCTTAATATTTTCATAGAGATTTATTAGTTTTTTACAGGTACCTTGGTACAAGAATAGATGTTTAATATTTCTTTATTAACTTACTTATTTTTGTTTATCTATGTTAGTAACTATATTGCTAAATAGCTGTATGTAAATTATGTATTTACTGAGAAATGAAACAATTGCTTATGAATTATTTAATATATTTTATTTACTCTTTGTATTTATAAGCAGTTAGATACATAGATGAGTAACTAAAATATATTTATGAAACAGAATATTTTTAATTATGCTTTAAACTCTAAATCGTATATTTATCTCTAATGTAATTAAATCGAATTTTATCTCTATGAAAGTATTGACTACGTCTATTCGGCCCGTTAATTCGACAAACTTTCGAAAAAATTTGCATCCTTTAAAAATTTTATTTATTCATATCCTGGAACTGCCATATCAAAGAATTGAGCTTGATTGTAAAAATGACTAAAAAAGATTCATCGGAGAAAAAAAAGAAAACAAAAGGATCTACCTGTATATTATTATCATAAATGAAATGAAATGAGGATCAAAGTAGTTGTTTTAACGAGTAAATGAAAAAAAATAAATAAAATGATATATCATTAAATTAGAGGTTTAAAAATATAATAGAACTCAGTATATGTACAGTATTTGAAAAACATGTTTATAATTTGTATGGAGAAAATAAATGATTGATATAAAAAAGGGACTGTTTTTATTTGTGTCACTCTTCTGAACATATTTTAGGTAATGTTTTTCTCACAAAATTAAATATTTTTACATAGTCTGTTATTGCAAACAACGATACAATTTGTAAATTGCTGGTACATATAAAATGTAAATATTCCAACCATTGTTTTTTGAGAATCGACTGGTGCAATGAAATCGAAAACAAATCAATTTTTTTTTAAATAATACTACAAATATATGTATTTGTTTAATTCTTT